AAAAAAAAAAAAAAAAAACATTAAGAGAACTTTAGACATGCTGTCACTACTTGAATTCTAACCTTATGTTTGATTTGCTGACTTAACCCTTTCACTATGGCTGGGATGTATATATCCCAGTGCACTTTAAATCTGTAAGAAGTTATTAAGTTATTTACGGTCCTTACCTATTTTAGTGTTGTTTATTAATAGTAAAAGCTGCTGATTTTTTATTTATTGTTTGCCACTTATCTTAAACAAGACTTGTTACAGTTTGTAAAAATATACACATTCTGTGCAGACATTCCTATGTGTAAAATTAATAAAAATAAATAAATAAACAAATTTAAAAAAAAGGAAAGGGGCTTTGTTCAAAGCAGGCACACTTAATTTTTTAAAACCAGAACTGAATGCTTTTTCTGTGCATTGTCAATAAAAGGCTCGTTCAAGCGACAGGAGAAAAATTTAAAAGTTTTCTCTTAAGTTTAATTAGGAGAGTGAGTGAATCAACTCAAAATGTGTTGAAAGGCTGGAAGATAAAGAATAAATAAAAACTTAAAACCAAGAATCCTAATGATTACATCTGCTACTTTACATGAATTTGCTTCAGTCGCTGTGGTAGATTAGATACATGTATATTTAAAAGAAATACTGATAAATAGTTAAGTCCACTGTTATGGAGATTGCATTTTTCTATTTGATCATTGTATGTGTCAAAAGACAGAGAGATTCTCAAATGAAAATAAAAAGCCAAATAAGGGATTTAAATACAAGATGAGAAAGAAAATTGCTTGACTGTGGAGGTAGCTAAAAAAAAAAATGGTGGTTTGTGGAAGGTGAACAGGTGAGGTCAGTTATACTACAGTTATTTAGTTTATTTTCTTTGCACATAGAAGATGTTTATGATCTGAGAACAACTGATAAAAAAAACATTTTTTTGAATTATTTATGTTACTACTTTTAACTATTTTACTGTGGTAATAGCATACTGGTAAACTTATCAACTTAAAAAAAAGAATTTTTCATGACTTCAATGTCAGACACGACTTGTCAGAAATTTTCAAAGGAATACTACCATATCTTACATTCAGATTCATGATTGAAACTCCATCAGTGCAAGCCATTCTTTCAATATTTTTGATTATTAGAATATTATCAGTTTCAATCTAACAGGTTGCTCAAAATAATTAAGAGATAATTGGAGTTTCCAATATGATATATTACCTCCTCTCACAAAAAATTTTCACAAGTTATACTGCCCTCTATCAGGAGAAATTTTTGCCAGCCACTAGCCTTGATACTCCTACTTATTTCTGCATACTAACATGCAAATGACAATGCAGCAACTCTTCATAAATGAGAGAGCAACACTACCCCAATTGTAACTGGTGCCGTCTCTAATCTTGCACGTTGACTACTTCTCAATTGGCATTGTTATTGAATAGATGTGTTTTCGCTTGTGGATTGATTCACATGTTTTTACTTTCATAATTTTTCTACTTTAAGTTATATTGTCCTTTACTATTTTTATTCTCTTTTGAGATATTTTACAAATTATTTTATTTAGCTTCTCTCCTCTTTCAATTTTGTGAGTTATGCACTTGCAGTTTCAGATGGTCACGACTACAACTCCTGTTACTGCTGCAGTAGAATTACCAACCACTCTAACAGGTAAGAACCACGATTCTCGGCCCATGAAGTGATGGCTTTGGTCTGTCAGGAGTTTAGCAATTTCATGCAATAATCATAACACACTGATGATTGTCCAATCATGGTTTTTAGTGATTGGGAAGTTTTGAATTTGGACAGCTTTCCCCCCTCCTGAATAGACCTCAGTTTCTTCTCCAGGACACTGACCTGCTGATGTGTTGGCTTTTCAACGACTTGTTTTCCACAGACTCATAAAATGTTTTGGTTCATGTCGGGGTGTTTTTCAACTCTTTCTTCCATCAGGTCCTACATGCTCCACTTTAGTTGCGAGCTATGGAATGTTTCATATACAATGTCTCATCCTATTCTTCTCTTACTGTGTGAGAAGTTCTCTCTCTTTTGTGATAGACAAATGTAACCTTGTTCGGGATTCTTCAGATGCCCCTCATACCCTTCCTCCTCCCTTACAGTCTGACTTTGACTTGTGGCTGGATTGGGACAATACTACAGTGGGCGTTCCTTTTCCTCGTCCGGAATGTCATCTTTTAGAGATGCTTCTTTTTCTAGTTGGGGGTGTATCCCAACACTCAGGAGGTTTCAGGGTAATGGTATCCTTCCGATTTATCTCTCCATATCAATTTTGGAACTTATTGCTGTGTGGGCATTCCTTTATTTCCTGTGGCTCCTAGGGACCAGTTGGTGATTGTTCACTACAACATTTCTATGGTAGTCTTGTACGTCACCAGGCAAGGGGCACTCAGTTGACAGACCTTTGTTTTCTTACGTTGGGTTTTCTGTGTTGGGCCCACTGACATCCCATAAGTTTGTTGGCATGTCATAATCTTGGTGCCCTTTATCTGGTCTCGGATTGGTTATCCCATCCCAACAATATTCTCCCTGCAGTGTGGACTTCAGATCTACTCCTTTTTGAGTTTTGTATGTTCTCTGGGGTGTCCCAGATTTGGACATTCTTGGCACTCATCTCAATAAACCACTTCTGTGATTTTGGTCACCTGTTCTTCATCCTCTGCAAGGAGCAGTTGTCACTATCAGTTAGGATTGGTCAGGTTGGTACCTCTGTACATATCCTCCTATTCATCTCCTCCCACATGTCTTTGCCATACTTCAGACCACTCCATGTAGTGTTCTGCTGCTGGTTATGTATTGGCCAGGTCATACATGATTTCCTTTTCTCTTCCTTTATCTCTGACATTCTTCTGTCAGCTACATATTGGTGTGCATCACCCATCTGTACCTGCACTCTTGTCTTCATGTGTGGCTTGGTCCGGTCCTTCTCCTGAAGAGCAGGATTTTTGTATGTAGCTTTGTTCATTTTCTGTTCTGTTCTTTCTTCCTTCATGGCAGTCTACCTACATATGTGCCACTTTTGGTTTGTCCTAAAGGTTATAGTACATCCCAAACTATGGTTCCTCACATACCATCCTTGGCTTGGCTTTTTGAATGGGGCCTTTTGGTTTCCTTTGTTGTGGGCTGTAGGATGGCGTTACCTGACACTTCTTGGTTTACCCACTTTGCCCGTGTTCTCCAGTTGCCAGTCTCATCCATGTTGTTTTGATCCTTCTGTTTTTTCATGATGTCCCTGCCTTGCTTCCCTTCCAGATTAGCACCTCTGTGTTATCCTCCATGTTATTCCTGTCCTCCATTGAAATTTTTGTCTTTGTTATATCACCTTTCCTTGAAGTTCCTGTTCCTTCTCTTGTTGGTGTGTGAACATTGTCATTCTGATGTGTTCCAGATTCATGTTCACCTTGTTTTTGTTTTCTTCATTCCTGTGTTCTCCACTCTCCTGTTCATTTCTTTATGCCCAATACTTTGGCTACTTGAGAGGATACTTCTACCTTCACACCTTTTTCCCTTCCCTCCATTTGCCACCATTATGACCATTCCATTTTCGTCCAACTCCTTTTCCTAGTCAGGGCTCTCCAATGACATATGACATGTACTGCTTCCTTCTGTGGTTTCTGAGTCCATTTGTTTCTTATGTGAAGTCCTCACCTCTCCTGTGACTTTTTCCCTATTACCATTCAGGGTTGAATTCACCAGTTAATTCACCTGGCGTTTTTCTTCCTTTTTCTCCTGATGATGTTTTCTTCCCATCAAATCCATCACCTTACCTTGTCTCTGGCTGCACATTTCTATCTTCCCTTGGAAAACATCATCAATACTGTAAATGTTTATCTGTGGGTGGTAAGTACTCTGTTCATTTTCTGTTTATTTGCAGATCTTTTATCGCATATTTAGATCCTGCTCTGTGGCGAGTGTTGCCTAACCAGGTATATTAGTCTTAAATTCACACTGTATAACTTGTGATCATATACCATGCTAGATGACTATGACATTTATGCTCTTCCTACCACTGACCCGATGTATAATTCCAGATGTCACCGGGTGTTGTTTAATTGACTCTGTCAATGTGTTCTCTGTGCTTTCAAACTACAATGTCATAACACGTATCCAGGTCATATTATGCCCACTGTTGAAATGAGGTATTCTGCAAGACCACTCATAGGTATACCTTGTGGTCTTTTGATTCATAAATATGTTTGTCCCAAACTGTACGCTCATGGACTAACATGAGTAAAGCAGACAGAGATTACTGCACATATCTGATGATTCATGGGGTTTGAGGATCTTCCTACTGTGGACCTGATGTACAATTCCAGATGCCACCAGATCAACTCTTTCAATGTGATCACTCTGCTTTTCAAAGTAGGGTATTGCAGTCACCCATTGTACTGTCTCCAGTGCTGCAGTCTTCTGGAATCTCCAACACACTTTTTCCCTCCTTCGTCTAGTGGAGTATGGGAGTCCTTTCCACTTACCAGTTCCTAGCCACTGGGGTGATGGCCCATAGAGACCTGTCCTCCTGAGTGTATGCATGACAACACCCAATTGAGAGTAGGGCAGTGGAGTAGTTGGCATGATGCCCTTCCTATCACAGACCTGATGTATAATTCTAGATGCAGTCCCTCTACCTACCATCTGCTGGATGTTGGTTCGTGGTGGATCTGGTGTTGTTTGTAGCTGGATGAGATACATGAGTTTCTGCATGTGTAAGGTTGGTTACCCTCCTCTTCCTTCAGACTGAATGAAAAATTCCTAATGCTGCCATGTTTTGGACTGGATAAGAATACCCACCTGTGCTCTCCTCCTTCCTACCATCTGCCGGATTTTGGTTCCCGACGGATTTGGTTTTGGTTGTGTTGGAGGTGCATACTTGCAGAGGTGGGTTCTTGGTATGGAAGCTCCTCTTCCTTGCTGGTACCCATTTTTTAAGTGAAAGGTAGAGGACCCTATTCTTACTGTGGACCTGATGTACAATTCCAGATGTTGCCAGGTATTGGTTGAGGTCAAACACTCATTTACTATTCCAAAGTGCTCGAGTTTTGGGTCTTACTTTAAGTTTATTACACTTTATATGTGATCCTTTGTGCTAACTCTTTTATCAAGAAACAGACTATGGATATGCATTTTGGAGGTTCTAGATATTGTACTAGTGTGATATTCAAACTCTTTGATAGACAAGAATAATTTTTTCTCTACATGAACTTCATTTTACATTCTGATTTATCAGAGTCTGATAGACATCTATTGACTACAAATACCTTTGTAACTCCTCTGATTTTTTGTATACCACAGACATGTAGATTTTAGTAACTGCTTACCAATTTTTATGTAGATATACATAGTAAATTTGGAACTAAAATAAATATTCCTTCTCCAATACAGGGTCAGTTCAATGCACTGAGCCTGTGCACAATTAGTTAAATAGTACATAACTTGAAATTTATTTTTTGCTTCATATGTTATAATATATTATAGGTGAGAGGCAGGAATTTATTGAAATTGGATTTAAATTATTTCTAAGAGTAAACATGTCAGTCAGAACTACATAAGCAAACCAGTTTCAGTCAGTTGCATTTTGAAAAATATTTCTAAAGATTGAAAGTACTGAGTGTCAATGAAAAACTAAAATAAGATAAGGTTTCTATATTTTTAAAGAAAATATGCTGAACTTGAAAGTTACAAAATTAGAGTTAACTTCTTAAAATGGCCAAAAATTCTCAATTTAAAAGTATTTGTTTCTATAAAACCAAGGATAATTTTCTGCATGATACAAGTAACATCTTACTATAAAGATGATCAATTATGTGTGTGTGTTAGTATCCATCACATAAAGAGTTGTATTACTGTAATTTTTTGTATGCTAACTGGAAACTATCTTGTTTTAGGATTTTTGCTCAAGAAAGGAATAAAAAACACCCTGAAATAGGACAAACTTCCACTGTTTTTTTATTGATGTTTGGTTTTAAATAAAAAAAAACAAGTACTTAATCACTTAAATGATTCAATTATTACGTTCCAGGAAGCAGGGTATGCAATTAGCATTTAATAAGGTCATTAGGGATTTAATAACAAAAGAAAGAAGGAAGAGGAACATTATCCAACATTGTCCTTTCTGCAGTTTATGATTCTTTAATGAGTACCCTCAGTTAGTTAATATGAAAATGTTCTCTGTTATAAGCTACACACTTTTTTGCTGACTTGTAACTAGAAAATACTGTTTTATTTTTTTATGTATTTGTTGCAAGATTTCAGTCTTTATCATAAGTTAACAAACTGATTTCAGTAATTATTACTCATAATTTTTTTTCAATCAGTTTTGTAAATTTTAACATGGTAATCACTTGTATTTTCTTATTTTCAATTCTGTTCTTTATTTAGGTTGATGATCAAAATGATAAAAAAACCTTATTAAAATGTGGAAAAGTGTTTGACCTCAACACACAGTGGGAATTTCAGTCGCCTAAAGATTTTTCTTTAAACAGTAAGTTAATTCATTATATAGCTGTTATCTTAATGGTTTGTAACACTTCTAACATCTCACTGACGTGCTTCCAGAACTTCACTGTGCTCACCTCAGGCTTTAAATTTACATTCAAAACTTGAGAGACAAAAGTTTGCAGTTATGTATTTAATTGGCAGTATGTTACATTCACCTAGTAAATGTGCAAATGTACATTCAAGAATTAATTCAACAAGCTGTGAAAATAATATGTTAGTAATAATAATATATTTGAAAGATTATAAATTATTTCAGGCTGAAAATTTTTATTGTAATAAAGACCTGTGATGATAAACTGCTGTAAACATGATTTTAACAACATTTTGATATCACAGTTTTCAAATAAGTATGTGAAACATACTGTTTTTAATGCAGCTGTCTTCACTTTTCTGCATCGTTAAAACATGCACCTTTATCATGTAAACATGATTTTGACATCACAGTTTTCAAATAAATATGTAAAACATACTGTTTTTAATGCAGTTATCTTCACTCTTCTGCGTAGGTGAAACATGCACCTTTAACACAGCATTCCTCATGTTTTTCTGAGTTTAAAGTAGGTTTTACTCAAACTTTTCTTCACACCTCACCAGATTTAAAACATGTTTCAAGAAAAACCTTATCACAGCTTTCTAAATCGTGCTTTTAATGTGATTGCTAAAAATATATTTCAAGTTGTGAAACATGTTTTTGGTATAAATATTTATATACTCTTCCATGTGTGAAGCTAGTTTTTAATGTGACTGTGGTTTATAATGTCTACAATGTTTTTATTGTGATTACACTTGTACTGCTTAAATTATAAAGCTTTTAATATGGCTGACTTTATGTTACTTCAGATGTGAGTGATGCAGCACTGGATTGGGTATCAGGAAACTGGTATTTTCTGGATGGTAGAAACCAACTGATGTTTCTTTGTAATAACAGTCTCACTGTCTGCATCACTGTTATTGATGTAGCCTTAAATAATCCTCGAGGGATTGCTCTTGATCCAACTACTGGGTAAGTTTTGCATATTTTATCATTGGGCAAATTATGAACTGAATAAGTAATTACTGTGTCACTTTATTATCTAACTTTTCATGTAACTTGTGCATTATGTCATTCAAAACTGCAACTTGAGTAATGTATTTACTGAGTGATTTACAGCTTGTATTGTGGAAATATTAGTAAAATACAGTTCAAGGAGCAATAAAATAAATACAGATGAAAACTGTTTCAAGCCTTACGCTGTCTAGGATAGATAATTGTAATTTTCTGTTATAATACACAAAGTAGAAAAGGGTTATGTAGATTTATTTTGTTGTTGTTTTTACGGTGGTTATAGGATCGGTCAAACTGACTGAAGTTATAGCGTTAGGGCTGAGAAGAAAAAGATAAAATGAGACTTTTGATATTTATTTAGGAGGTTATGCAAATGCAATTTGAAAGCTGTAAGATGAAAAAGTATTTTAAATCTTAACATGAAAATCACCGTACACTCAGACTAGTAAGAGTCTGGGTCACACTCAGTCTCCATATATTCACAGATAATGATATAGTAAAAATTATTTAATTAAATAGTTTGATTTTTGTGTACAAAAGACTTGTAATGCTCACAAAAAGCTTGCCAAATTTTATGAAGATACACGTACTGCATTAAAAGTTACAGTATGTATGCATTCACTGTTATCTGTTGGTTGCATAGTGGTTGCAAGGCAGGTCAGTGTGACTGAGCCCATATAGATAGAGTTAAGAAAGTTCTGTATAATATCCATAGTGAAAAGATTTAAGAAAGTTCTGTATAATATCCATAGTGAAAAGATTTAAGAAAGTTCTGTATAATCTCCAGAGAGAAAAGATTTAAGAAAGTTCTGTATAATCTCCAGAGAGAAAAGGTTTAAGAAAGTTATGTATAATCTCCAGAGAGAAAAGGTTTAAGAAAGTTTTGTATAATATTCAGAGAGAAAAGGTTTAAGGAAGTTATCTGTAATCTCCATAGTTAAAAGGTTTAAGGAAGTTATCTGTAATCTCCAGAGAGAAAAGGTTTAAGGAAGTTATCTGTAATCTCCATAGTTAAAAGGTTTAAGGAAGTTATCTGTAATCTCCATAGTTAAAAGGTTTAAGGAAGTTATCTGTAATCTCCATAGTTAAAAGGTTTAAGGAAGTTATCTGTAATCTCCATAGTTAAAAGGTTTAAGGAAGTTATATGTAATCTCCATAGTTAAAAGGTTTAATATAGCTCTGTGTAGATTCCATGGTGATTCCCTTATCGCTACGGGTCTTCCCGTAGTCAGGGGTCAAAGGGCATGTCATCATGTTTGTAGAATTATATTCAAAATTTTATTGAACTACTATTTTATGAATGTCTGTCAGTAAGTTTGATAACAAATTGTAGATCATAATTCAGATTTTAGCATTATACGTTAGTCGATTTTTTAGTTTAAAAGTAAGTATATAAAAAAAAAACACCTAAATATCGATTTTTGTGTGACGTGGTATGTTGAATGCAGCTTTAGTTCAAATTAGGTGTTTGTGATGTCCAAATCCAAAGTCTGTAGTTTCTTATGAATTAAGAACTCAACAATATTGACGAGTTAGAATATAAAATAAGAACATCCTGTCTTTTCTATTTGCTGACATATAGCTATATTTAGCAAATCAAACTCTTATTTCTTACATTTCTGGAAATTCCTCCTTACGTACACCCGCTTCATTTTTTATGGCTTTATAACCAATCAAATGCTCAGAATTTCCCACATATGGTTCTGGCTCTTGAAGGTGGACAATTCTTAAGATTTTTCTTTTTATCTCAAATCTGGGAAGGAAGAGGTAAGTGAAAATATTCAAAATATCATATTTTTTTAGACTAAAATACAGCTTAGTTACTAAGCCTGATAAATTATACTGGATTTCTGTGGTATTGATATAATAATTTATGATTTTTTTAAATTTCAAAATGCATATATAAAACCTAAAAAAATATTTTCTTTTACATCCTCCACATGCAAAATTTGGCAAGGCTTAACAAATTACGGCAAGTAGCAAATGAGTACAAAGTTCATAAGAAGAAGAGATCATTTACTGTTCTAAATACTGAAATTTAGAAATTTATTTATAAATGGTAACAATATATATACATATGTAATGTATTATAACCAAAATGTGATTGTATTTTACAAAATACTGGTCCATTAGAACAAAGCCAAGACAGGTCACTTTGTAAAGACCAGTTTTATACTATTGGATACAGTGAAATTAGTGCACATGCAACGCGTAATTGCAACTTCTATAATATTAGTCGGACACGGCTGAAAGGTTAATAAAATGAAAATAATATATCTGTGTGTGTGTGTGTACAATTTTATGAGATTTAAACTCTTTAATCTAAAATTTGTGGTTTCTTGTTATAATCTGTAGTCATTCTAGAATGAAAAAAGTGTAATTTATATCTATTTCCTAATTTTTTATGGGGGTTACGAGGTTGATCAAATCAACCAAACCCATACAGAGATACAATAGTGAAAATAACAGTTAAAATATAAAGTTTTTTCTAAACAAAAATGTTTGCTAATTATCTGGAAGTTTTAAAGATTTTATACGTGAAATTTAGCAATTTTCTGATGCATAAAATTATTTTTAATCTTAAAATCAAAATTACTTTATACGTTGGACAGTCAACATTCAAAAAGAAAAAATGCACACACAAATCGTTACTTAAATTTCTTAAAACTTATTTAAAATATCTGATATATTGTGTACAAAAGCATTGTAATGTTTACTGATATTCTGTAAAATTTCATGAAGGTATGCCTAATGTATTAAAAGTTATAGTATGAAAACTATAAGAAGCACAAAATGGTTACGAGGTAGGTCCCTGAGACTGAGCCTGTAGTGTGAGAGTTAAGGAAGTTATGTATACACTCCATGGTGAAGGGGTTTAACCCTTTTGTGACGGGCTGGGTATAGAGTACACAAATTTGTATCTACATTTGCACACATTAAATATTTATACTTTAAATTTTAATGTAGTATGTGTATCTTCACAAAATTTGATAGACTCATAGTAAACATTACAAGTCTTTTGTACACAAACAATCGGATTTTTTTTATGAAGTATTTTTACTAAAGGTTTGTTTGTGAACATATTGAGTCTGTTTCATTACTAATCTGAGTGCGAAGTGATTTTCATGTTATGATTAAAAACTATTCTTTGCCCCAAAAATCTCAAATATCATTTGTGTAATCTCTACAACCTCCTAAATACATATCAAATGTTTGTTTTCAGTAAAACTTTATATTTTATCTGTTATTTTCTCTACCCTAACTCTTTATGGGGTCGGTCAAATTGATCGACCTTGTAACCGCATAAAGAAATTAGGAAATAAATATAAATTATTATTTTTTGTTCTAGAATAACTACAAATTATAACACGAAAACACAGATGTTTAATGTAAATAGCTTAAATCTCATAACATTATACATTTGTATATATTTATTATATTTACCTTTTCAGCCGTGCCTTGATAACATTACAGAAGTTGCAATGACGCGGTGCACATGCACTCACGTTATCGTATCCAAGAATATAAAACTGGCCTTTACAAAGTGATCTGTCTTGGCTGTTTTTTAGTGGACTGGTATTTTGTAAAATACAATCACATTTCAGTCATAATACATTATATGTATATACGTTATTACTATTTAGAAATAAGTTCTTAAATTTGTTTTTCTTAAAACATGGAACAGTAAATAAAGAAGTATAGTAAACAATTACCTCTGCTAGTTATGAACTTGTACTAATTTGCTGCTTGCCATAGGCTGCTAAGCCTTTTTAAATTTCACACGTGGAGGATATGAAACGAAATAATTTCTCTTAGATTTTATACATACATTTTGAATTAACCAAAAATCATAAATCGCTATATCAGTACCATAGAATTCCACTATAATTTATCAAGCTTAGTAACTAAGCTGTATTTGGGTCTAAAAAAAATATGAAATTTCAAGCTCACTAAAGTCTACCTTATTGCTTTAAACCTTGTGTATCTTTTGTTTTATTTTCATTGAATCCTTTTTTCTTAACATTAGTGTGTCATCAGCACTTACATATGTATTACACATTCATTATAATCAGTCCCTAATATCATTCTCAAAACAGCTTGTAAAGCTTATTAAAATATATTAATGAATAACTATCATGATGATTTCAAATCATTTTGGTTATGTCTGTTACTACTGTCTTTTTTGCAGGCTGATGTTCTTCACTGAATGGGGCAGCACAGCTCCACTTGTGGAGAGAGCCAATATGGATGGGTCTGAGAGAATTAAGCTGGTAGAGAAAAAGATAGTTTATCCACGGGGTATTACTATAGATTACCCTAATGCTCATGTATACTGGGTCGATGCTTACTTAGATTATATTGAAAGAGTCAATTATGATGGTTCCAACAGACACACACTTATTCAGGGATCAAAGGTAAGTATCCAGCGAGTAGATTATTTTTTATTTTAATTGTTTTTGTTCACTTAATCAGTGATTCAGGTTTAATACCTAAAACTGGTATAAACTCTTTCAACCTTGATGAAAGAAAGAAAGCTATACAAAAATGCCTTACTTGTGAAGATATATGTAATCTTTAAAGTTAATGTCTTTTTTGAAACACTACAAGTTATGGCAAAAAAGATCAATAATACAGATCTCCCTCTATTTCTTTCACTCATCTATTTGTTGTTTTTTTTTGTAGATGAAGAATTTGTTTGAAATTACAATGTTCGAGCAGTATATTTATACTACAAGTGGGCATGAGAATAGTATCCTTTCCATTCATCGTTTCAATCGTTCAGATGTGCGTTTAGTGAAGGGAAACATATCTCATTCTCTGTCTATACGTGTGTATCACAGACAGAGGCAACCAGAAGGTGAGATAAAACTTCTGAGTGATCTTTTGTGTAATAATAGAAGACTTGCTATCTAAATCTGTTCATTATTTCATAATACACTATATGCACCATTTCATTCCATAACAGCTGAAAAAATCTGGAGATAAGTAAGTATAACTACAATTTGTTTTTAAATGAAAATGTATAAGGCTGGGGGGGGATCATAATCCACACTTTGGAACAGTGAAACTCTACTATTCAAACACTGTAGCTCAAGAGTTGGGAGTGTTTTGACTGGCTGCGTTCCATCTAATATATCAGTTCAAAATTAGGGATGGCTAGCACAGATTGCCCTCGTATGGCTTTGCATAAATAGTTGAAACAAAACAAACTTGGAAGATACTGGTTGCTTTTTTTTGTTATTAAAGTAGAAAAACAACAACATAATTATACACTGTACATACATATGAAAGAGCTAACTAACTTAGATTTTGGACGTTTGTTTGTTTTCTACTTCATATTTCTCTTTCATTATTATTATTTTTTATATTAAAGTAATAATTTTTTTAGAATAAACATTTTTATTAAATATTAGTTTTAAGAATTACTATAACCTATCAACTGCAATTTGATTATTCGTACTATAATATTTTCCGCATTCAGAATATAAATATTTAATAGTTGAAGGTGTGTTTTTATCTCATTTTTGTCAGTTCAGTTATTCTTCTCAGAGCAGTGTTCATACAAGTCCTGGAAAACCTGGAAAGTCTTTGAATAATTATAATATATTCAAGATTTCCTGGAAAACTAAAATGTCTTGATCATAACTTTATCCACAAATCTTTAAAATGTTAGAAATAAAAAAAATTATTTTGGTCCACCATTTTATTTCTTATTTTTCATGATCCATTTGTATGTTTCTTTTGTAGTTAAGCACAAAGGCACAAAATGGGCAATCTGTGCTCCGCCTACCATGGGTATCGAAACCTGGTTTCTAGCATTGTAAGTCTGCGGACATACTGCCGTGCCACTAGGGGTTTTTTCATGATCCATTTATAGCACAAGAAAGTTATAGTTACTTTATTAACCCGTAATATATACAAGTCATTTACTGCCTGGAACTGTATGTGTTGCACTAATGAATGTGTAGTAGGTTTACCAACATATAATAATGAAAGGTTTCAGTATGTATTAATTGCTATAATGACTTACATCCAGTAATGAAATGTAAAAAAACTAGTTCTTTTATTCTGTTTAATAACTTACTGTTGTGAATGCTCTTCAATTATCAGCTTCACCATAATATAGTTATAGCAAGAAATATCAGCTTGATAACATACATGCATGCATTCCATGAATCAAAAGACTTGGTTAATAACAAAAGTTTTGGATTCTCCAGGCAAACAATAGGTACAAGTTGTCAGATACTTAAGTATTTGACTTTGGAGAAGCAATACTTACATTATTCAGACTGGCATTGTGTGTCTACAGTATGCGGATCTTAGGAAAGTTGATTTTATCATGTTATTTTGAGCTTATGTTGCTTATCTGCAATGTTTTGTAATGGATTTTCAATTTCAAACATTTCTGTCATTTAAAGACTAAATTAAGAGTAAACAATAACAAGAAAAAATGAATAAATAAAAGGGAAAATAAGTGCTTGTATAAAGTAATAGAGCTTAGACCAGTTTGTGTGGATATTAGACTGAGAAAAACTTGTATAAGGTAATAAAGCTTAGGCCAGTTTGTGTGGATATTAGACTGAGAAAAACTTGTATAAAGTAATAGAGCTTAGGCCAGTTTGTGTGGATATTAGACTGAGAAAATCTTGTATAAGGCAATATAGCTTAGACTAGTTTGTGTGGATATTAGATTGAAAAAACCAGTACATAACAAAGCTCTGATTATTTTACATTTTAATTTAGTAAAATAGTTATTGTTTAAATCTGTGCTAGGATCAGGAAAAATAACAAATGGTCCATTTAAAACAACAAACATCAAATATTCTAACTTTTGTAAAACAAGCAACTGTATGTTACAAACACATCCCTAATTTTTATTTTTTATTAGGCATAACATTCACTGTTTTGACCTTTCTTTTAAAAGTATGAAATGTAGCAGGATCAAATTGATTATATACAGGTAGTGTTAGTGATGTATACATATGTGTGCTTTGAATGTCTTATCTAGTTGTACAATATGTAATTTGCAGTAAAACTGTTTAAACTGTTGTATAGTTCAAGGCTTCTCTTTTTATGATGGTTGTTGCATTTATATTTTCCATTATGTTGCAAAGAATGTTTAATTTTGAGGTCATTGTATAATATTTTTCATAGAGGCTTTTATTAGTTCTGATATTTTTGATTATTAGCTTATGGTAAAATCAAATTTTTGAATTATTGGTGTTTTAGGATACTGGAAAATAGACTATTCAGAGTCTTTGTGAAGTCCCAGAATTTTATTCCTGTATGAGCTCTTAGTGTATATAGCTATCCTGAACATAAATAAATGAAGTAAATATCCAAAATTTATTAAAAGTATTTGACATTTCAAGATATATATCACATTATAAAATTCAGTCCAACTCTGACGATCAACAGTTTAATCACAAAAGAGGGTCATAAAAGGAATAATTAGAAATTAATGTGTTTTTTAAATGTATGTAAATCATTTATTAATTTATTTATTGATTGTGTCTATGTTCTTTTAATAAAGGGATTGTGTGAAGTTAGCATTCTTGTTGTACTTACATACATATATTTAGATCATTATGTAAAGTAAGAAAAGTGGGATATCTGACTTTTCTGTGTTCATGTGTACAAGATTGATTTTATAAGGTTTGGATCATCAAGTAATTATGAATAAACCATGTTGAAAGAGTAGCATTTTCTTGTCTATAACATTTGAGTTACAATGTGAACTGAGCAATTTTGTGTCTTTCTAGTGGATCATCCATGTACTAAGAACAATGGAAATTGTGAACATATTTGTATTCCAATGTACAAGAATGACACAGCATTTGCAATGTGCAGGTGTAAGGCTGGATACAGAGTACTGCTTAGAAGTGGACGATGTGTCAGTAAGTTGTACAGCTCATTTTTATTTTGTCATTTATATGATTAAAAATTTAGTGTTTGTTGAATGAAATTTTTATGATATACGTTTTCCAGATTAGAATTGCTTTTAATGCTGTAGGGTGATACATTTATGAAAACTATAGCAACTAAAAATTTTCAAAAGAAGTATAACCAGTGTGAAAAAAAATACATCATGATAATAACAGGTAAGTAGTGGAATAAATAATCATTCTATAGTACTTCATTTGTACTTTACGTGGCGCAACTATTAGATTAATGGCTAATAAACTATGTACTAAATCACAACCTTGTTGCACTTTCTTGTACATTATGTTGTGCAGTTGCTAGATTAGTGACATAAGCTATACATTAAATCACAGATTTGTAGCAGTTCTCTTGCATTTTACATCATACAGCTACTAGGTTATTGGTTGCTAAACTATACAGTGAATCACAACTGTGTAGCATATTTCTTGTGCAGATATTTATGTATCTGCTGGATTAATAGGTGAACATTGCTGTGGAACACCACTTTATAACACTTGTAATGTATTCCAGAGAGAATGTTTAGTAAAAACTTTCAGTACTAAACTTTTGTGTAATGCTGAGAGAGAGATGTTTGCCTCATCAAGTGTAAAGAGGGGTCTTTTAGACCTGCATAGCTTTGCTGAAATGAAGTTAGTTAAACATCAAGTGAAGGTTAAACATGTAGCTAGTTTTGAACCTGATATCTAACTTTTTGCATTCTGTTATTTAAATATGTGTGTGCTTAATTCTGAATTATTGTTAATCATTTAAGTAAAATTTTCAGAAGCAAAGCAGTCGCAACTTTTGATATACGCTGTTGGTCGTCCGGGAGTTATCAAGGGAATCTCTCTGAATCCTGGAAGGAAGCAAGAGCAGGTGATGGTACCAATTAGGGGATTGAAGAGACCTACAGCAATAGATTTTGATGCTAAAACACAGTTCATTTATTATTCCGATGTACAGAGATTTGTTATTGAGAGACAAAAGGTTGATGGAAGTCAGCGTGAAATTTACCTTGATAAAGGTATTAGATATTTGATATTACTTCAAATGCATTTATATCTTCATGAAGTTTTTTTGTGGGAATGTAACTCATTAATTGATTTGTAAAATAGGTATGGGTAAAAAGGGAAATGCTTATGGAAAAAAATAAATTTCAGTAGTATTAATTGTTTTAGATTATGAATAATATGTAATAGAAGAAGCTGAGGAAGAAAGAATACTTTTTTTGGTTTGCAGTTTGATCTCATATGCAGATTAGAAAACAAAATTGCATACATAGTTAAGGAAAAAACTGCATTGTTTACTCATTTAACTTTTGTTGTAGTATATTGAACAATAGACCTTCATTTATGTTCAGTTTTGTTCACACTTTCATCTTGTGAGAACTTTGAATAATCTTTTATTTATAGGTTCATTACATTCATTTTGTGCTAGGTTCTTAATGCTGGAAAATGACAATTTCAAATTTTAAGCAAAATTGAAGCAATTTAGTGGTAGATCATGTATAATCTAAATAACATTTAGAACATTTATACATGACATTTGAAGTTTTGAACATATATATTTGATCATTAAACATAAAATAACGGTGCAATCTACATTCAACTTTAACTCCTTCAGTGATTAACCCGAGGTAACTTGGGCATCCTTCATGCTTCATAAAATACTTGCTTGATTTAATTTAGACAGATTATTTCACACAATGTTTTTAGTTACTTGCTCTGATTGATTCACATGTTATCATGTATTACAATCATTGTTCAGAAGACGGTATTGAAAGTGAAGTTTGTGATCACCTGAATTGGATTTATCATAACGACTGGAAAAAGGCATTCCTATTGTTTACTATAGTTTTACTGAAATATTATATCTCACTTATAAATCCAGATATGTATTATTTATTAAGTATATTATGCGCAAAAATATAATAACAGATCACAAAAACACTTTTGATTTATTAATATATAAGTATAGGCTATCAAAAAGCGAAATAAAAAGCCAGACTCTTTTGAGCTAATTAAAAAGAAAAGAAGGGCCAACATGGAAGGGTTTAAACATGCATATGTGTATATGGCAAAACTAAAACAATTTTCCTTTCAGTAATATTCCACTTTGCCTGTTAAGGAATATTTATACCATTTTAAAGAATAATGAATAATATACCGTCCAGAAACACATTTTTGGTAAAGAAATTTTTTATGCTTTATAATTGCAAAAAAAATCATGTAGTGGTTATTTTGTATGCTTGATTAAATAGTATTTCTGCCAGGTTTTTAAAAAGAAATGTAGTTTGGAAATATTCAAGTCAAAATATGAAGCCATAAATGTTTGTTATAAAATTTCTCGCTCAAATTTACCATTTTTTATCAGGAATAAGGGTGTCAAGAAATGGAAATTAATTATTTTCTTGATGTACAACTGTGAATTTGATATTTGTATGTTTGTCACTGAGATAGTTGAAAAAGTATTTACGTGATCAACATCTTTAAAAGTAAAAGGAGTCTCATCCACATAGAATATTGATTTAAATAAAATGGTGTTTCTCAATCACTGTTCTGCAGATCAGTAGCAGTCTGTTGGATTTCATAAAATCAAATAAACAATATTAATATGTAAATCGTAGTGTTTTTTGTTGTACTTGCATTTTAATAGACCATGATTGTTTAGAGGCAACGAGCTGGTGACTGTTGTCAAAAAGGTTGAGAAATGCTGAAATATAGAACTCGTTAATTTAGCAGAGGAACAAGTTAGTGAGTAATGGGGCTAATCTCAATCACATAGCTACACCATGTATTTCATCATATGAATTATTGTGAAACTGAAAATGAGATTCCATGATGGCAAAATTCATGAGTTTTTAAAACACAGGGCTTATGTAATATTTACTGTTTTCGAAACTTGTTATTATGTGTATCAGTATGAGACACAATGGATCAAATCGGACAGTCATCCTTGTGAACTTTAGTAATACCAGAATGAAAACCTAATGACTTTAACTTATGATATTCATCTTCTGCCATCAAGGTTTTGTATTTAATTTTAACAGGTATTTTTGTAATTTATCTTCTTTAGTTTTAGTTTTACAAATTTAGGTTCATTAATTAAAATTTATTTTTCTTTACTAGTGTAGTTTTATTTATAATAACTAAAACATTTTCCTTATGGACTTTTTTTATGACTGTTTATTTTTGTTTGTGTTTTCTATTTAAACTTTAGAATTTCACAAAATAAGTATTATACTTCAGTGTTTGAAATAATATGAATTATGAACTTAAATCAAGAGGCATTAACTAATGACCTTCTGACAGAATGATAACAATAACTGTATAACTTAGAAGCATTTTTATGTAATTATCTTTTTTCTGACAGCTGTTGACAACTGTGAAGGAATAAGTGTAGACTGGATGGGACGAAATCTTTATTGGACAGATGAAGGCCTGAAAGCCATATTTGTTGCACGACTTGATGATTCTTCAATACGAAAACGGTTGATTACTGGCAACATGACTCGCCCTCGGGCTATTGTAGTGGATCCAAAGAGAGGGTAATAAACTGTAGTAACAAGAAATATATAAATGCATAATCAGGTGCTAAACCAAGCCCAATAAAGAAAATTAAATTTTAATAATTAAAGAGAAAGATTGTTTGAGAAGCTTAGTTGAGCCATCATGATGAGAAGGTGAACACACCAAGGTTTCTTTTCAATAAATTTAAGTAAGAACTAATAGCACTTTTATGTGATTCTTTGACAAGAATTTTTCAGTTAGTATCATGTTACCATTTTCAAGATATTTGAGCTTGTTGTGGAAAGAGAGTTTACACTGACCACTTGACTTTGAGTGTCCATATGGAAACTTTTTTGTGACACTTGATAAATGAGGCAATAGCTCTTTTGGTGAAAAAAATAAAGAGTCTAACGGAACTCGTAATCGTTTCTGTATAGATAGGGGTCAGATGGCACGTCATCATATTTGTAGACTTACATTCAAAATTTTATTGAACTACTACTTTATGAATGTACATCAGTAAGTTTGGTATCAAATTGTAGATTATAATTCAAGTTTAGTATTATACATTAGTTAATTTCTAAAGTTAAAAATAAATAAGTAAAAAAAAAAACCTAAATATCAATTTTTGTGTGTCATGTGGTATGTCATCTGCTTTTGGTCATGTTACATTTTATAATGCCTACAATACAATGTTTATAGTTTCTTATGAATTAGAAACTCAAATTACTGATATTGACAAGCTAGAATATATAATAAGAACCTCCTACCTTTTCTATTTGCCGAGATATCATTATATTTAGTGAATCCACCATAGTGGCTGTGCTCACCTCTTCTTCTTTTGAAAATATTTGTTTACCTATGCCCACGTTTCTCAATTACATGTTTATAACCAATCAAACTTTGAACTTTGTAATTCTACTAGTCCTCCTGAAGTATTTGTGCAAGTAAAACCATCATTAATGTTGCAAGTTTGAAGAATGGTGTCAAGGTGATGTGGTGTTCAGAAATGAGATTTTCTACACCCAAGTATAGTTTAGTTAGGAAACCTGATAAGTTACGGTGGAATTTTGTGGTGTCGGTATAGTAATTTATAATTTTTTGTTATTTCAAGATGCATATATAAAACCTATATATATATATATATATATTTTACACCCTCCACATACAAAATTTGACAAGGCTTAACAAGTAAGACAGGTGAATACAAAGAAACTTTGTAATATTGTGTATAAGTAGTAGAGATTATTGTTGTCTTTATATTTTTATTTACTGTTCTATTTTCTAAGAAAACTAACTGAAGTTTAAGAATTTATTTGTAGATAGTGATAATATATTTACTTATGTAATGTATGATAACTGAAATGTAATTGTATTTTTCGAAATACTGGTGTGCTAGTACTAAGACAGACATTTGTACTTTGTAAAGGCCAGTTTTATGCTATCTGATACAATAATGTGAGCTGCACGTGCACCATGTGATATACAACTTGTGTGGTGGTATTGTTAGTCCCAGATGGTTCACAGGTCAATAAAACAAAAAAATTAATAAATATAAATAGATGTATAATGTTATGAGATTTAAGCTATTTAGAATAAACATTTGTAGTTTCATGTTACAATTTACAGTCATTCTAGAATGAGAAAAGGGTAAGTTAGATTTATTTCCTAATTTTTTTTTATGGTGGTTACAAGGTCAGTCAAATGAACCAACTCCTTATAGAGTTAAGGTAGAGAAGATAAAATATAAAGTTTCTCTAAAAAAATATTGTTATTCGATAGATATTTAGGAGGTTATAGAGATTACGGAAATGAAATATGACAATTTTTCAATATAGAAAAATATTTTTAATCTTAAAATCAAAATTACTTTTCATGTTGGATAGTCAACATTCTGAAAGAAAATATTCATGAACAAGTCTTTAATTAAATAATCTTAATACGTAATTAAAAAAACTGATGTTTTGTTTATAAAAAGCTTGTAACATTTACTGATAATCTGCAAAATTTCATGACGATACATTATCAAATTGTTATAGTATGATGATTCTCATGGTTACTTTGGTGGTTATGTGCTGGGTGAAGTGCACCCATGTCATAGTCAAAGAGTTAATAAAACTCTGTATGGCATTGATATATTAAACATTAAATAAAATCCTGTTATGTCTTTTGCTTTTTATATGTATAATCAGAAGTCACACTTAAATATTTTTAAAATTCATATTGCAAATGCATAATGTTCTGAAAAATGTGTACGACAGTATCTTTAAAGATCTTATATTTTTAACCTCAAAATATTCTAGAGTAAATATTTTGCAAAATTTATTTCATGTAATTACAAAAAAAAAAGAAAAAATATTTATAATACTTATTTCTGTGCAGGTTTGAGGACTTGCATATAAACAACTCATTTATTTATATGTTTTGAAGTATAGGTTTATATTTGCCAAGAAAATAGAATCCTTGATAATAGAATTATCAAAGTCTTATCACACCCGCTCCTACATGATTTTCATACTTTGTTAATATTTTTATTACCAACAGTTGGATAGAAGTGATTATAAACTGTTTGGTTATAAAGTAGTTTGAGAAGTAATATATGGTCTCGTGGGAAAAGTACTAAACATAGCTCCAGTAGGGATGAACAGAGAAATATAATGGAAGTTTAGAAGACATAGGAACATGCCACAGGTCTGGAAATTTATTTATAGATTTTTTTTTAGTCATTCTTTCCATTCCAGGAAACATTTTAATGCTAAGTTACAATTGTTTAAAATTACAGAAAATTTCTTCTATGACAAGACAGCAAGTAAGTTTAGTTGTGTTTAGCAGTTACTGAGTATACAAAGTTAAGTATAGCAAAATTAAAAAAATTTATTTGCTGAATGCACAGGCTTTCCAAAACTGCACATGTTTACATGTTTTTGCATGGAATATTGTGAATACAATGTTTGCTGTATATTTTTAATCAGTACAAAAAAAAATTAGGTACTCTCCTTCCTCAGAACTGATAGTTGGCTATTTAAGGTTAAAACTTTACAGCAAATTGTGAAGAGAACAGTACGAGTTTAAACTATAAACTATGTGCTGTAGTAAATGAATAACAATGTGTGCACAGTCTTAAAATAGTTAATCACTCAAAAGTTTTGTTTGATTTAATGAATTAGAAAAATATTAGTTAAATTAGAAAAAATAAAAGTTATCTTAAAATAAAGTTCAATAAATGTAAGTAAAAAGGTAAATAAACAGTAGATATATAAATGTAAAAAATGGAAAAGCATTAATTTAAGCCATTTTGGTAAAAAGTACCTAATTAATGAATTAGTTGATTTTCAAGGTGTTCTCTTTTGATGATGTCTAAAGGTGTGTACTTGAGCCCTACTATGTACTGCACAATAAATGAGACAGTGGGATGTAAAAGTGATGCTTCTGAGTCATTTACAATGTCGGGTAATAAATGGATTTGGGGTACGGTCAGTAGGTGTTATGCGCTATGTACGAAGTGTTGTGAATATTATCTTCAGTGAGTATTTTGTAGTTCTCAGTGATTGAATTCTTGGCTTTTATCAGGAATATTGAGAGCCAGCACGGGCCCCCTTTCTCTCTCTCTCTCTTTTTTTAACATTTTCAAGAATTT